CCCCGCCTCGTCCCCGCCCCCTGCCCCCCAACAAGCCCCAAATCCGTCCGCTGGACCCCCGCTTCTCAGGTTGGAGGAGGAGGCCGACTTCCGGGCGGCGCGGGACCTCTTTGGCGGCGGCGGCGGCAGCGGGGGCGGCAAGCAGCTGGAGGACCTCTTGCCCAAGAGCCTGAAGGACTTTGAGGCGTACGCAGAGCTGCTGGTCCAAAAGTGGGTGCCGGGGGCTTGTCACATGGCGGTGGTGCCCACCTTCTAGGGTGCGGGTCGCGGCGCGGCGCTCCGGCGCGGGCCTTCGTCGTGCAAGCGGCGGCGGGGTGTGCTGAGTTGAGGCCTGCTGTGCGGCTCAGCCCCGGCTCGGGGGCCGCGTTGATGTGTGCGGCTGGGTTTGCGGCGCGTATGGGGTGTTGATAATGGGGAATCGTGGGTGTGGCTGCGGGGTCGCACGCTTCTGGTGGTGTTGCGGTTATAGGGCTACTGAGTGCGGCATACACGCACCCACATGCTTTTACGCACACGCACACACACACGCACACACACGCGCACGCACGCACGCACACACGCACGCACGCACACGCACGCACGCACGCACACACGCACGCACGCACAACCACACACATACCCAACACACATACTCATGCACATACACCGCACGCACGCACCCACAACACGCACGCACAACACGCACGCACGCGCGCACACACAACCACACACATGCTCAACACACACAACACACATACACATACACACACAACACCCCCAGGTACCTCCTTCCCCACGCGGGCAACAAGAACTACAAGGGGCTGCTGAAGGCTGTGATGCGGGGGGCCATGGAGCCGATGGCGGTCGACGACACAAAGGAGGTGGAGCAGGCTGTGGCGGGTGCGTCGGGGGTGGGGGGCTGCAGCATTGGCATCCCCAAGGGCGCTGCGGCAGAGCAGCAGCCAGGGTGTTTGCGAGGGGGGGGAACAAACCTCTGTAGGGAGTGGGGCCTGATGGCGTAGGGGCGGGCACCGTGGCGGGG